CTCTTCCTTTTTAAGTGCGCAGTTGGTCTAGTGGTATACATTGTTGACCATTCAGCGAAAGGTTTTTGGATCAACCCTCGGCTGGTGCTTTCTTTTTTTTGTCGATTTTCGTTTTTTGTGAAAATAGGCGATATATTTATGAACCTATCTCGATTGATGTAAGAGATATCAAAATTATATCAACTAATAAAATACTCGCCTTAAAATTTCACTCACTTTATCAGTTGACAAGTTTTCACTATCAACCACAGGAAATGAAGGGGCCTGGGGCATGGGACAGTTTTCCCATTTGGAGTTTCTCGCCAAGAATTTGAGATGGAATAGTTTCAGCGTTTGGGAATCTTTTCAAAGACACTTTGAGGTTTGAAAAAGAACAAAAGATGTGTAGGTTGACCCGAAAACTGGTTGCCTTTTATATGAGTTCAAAACAATAACAATCTTACGGTTTCCTACACTGGCTACGCTGCGACTTGTGAAGGAATAAATTACAGGATGAACAGTACTCTAAATCGCAATGACCTGAAAATTTGTGAACCCGTGGACTGATGCGCCAAAAAAGTTTCAGTTGGTGCAATGGTTGATGCTGTCCAACGAAATACCACCCGAGGAATCGGTCTAGGACGTCCGGTTGCTGCTGAACCTGATCTCCCCAAGAAAATTCTCTCTGGAAGTGTACCTTCTGCTGTAAAAGACGCGTTTAATCAAAATGAAATGACCAAAACCATAGTAGCAAGTTGCGCTCAAATTGGGCAGATGGGAAGGATCAGCCTGGAAAAGTCCGGTGGAAAGTCTGTTTTGATATGGAATTTTTGAGGTTTTAATGTCCTTTTTTTCAGTGTCTTGGACCAAATCAGTGACTATTCCGACGCGAAATTGGTCGAAAAGTTTGGAGAGGCAATCGTAGAGTTTATAGGCCAGATGCAGAAGGATGTAAGTGAAGGAAAATCGCCGAAAGCTACTATTGTGTTTAATTGAAATTTGGGAAATTGCAATTTACCGTAAAACCCGTATTAGAAGGGCCGGCCCTTCTATTGTTCCAAGGTACCTCCGGAGGGCCCTTCTATTACAGGGGCACTTCAATTAGAGGGGGCCCTTCTATTTTTCCGGCCATTTTTCCCGAAATTTAGCATCGAAAAAGTCGACGAAATTTCGTTCAAAATTCATGAAAAACTACCACTTTGAACAAAATTGAGCAAGATTTCCATCGAAAAATAGAGTTTCAACAAATTTCTATTAGATTGTGAAGTTCCCGGAATATTTTTCACTGAAAAAGTACGAAAATTGTCTGATTTCAAAACACATTTTGAAGCGGGTATTTTTTCACAGAGGGCCCTTCTATTACAGGGGGGCCTTCTATTTTTCCAAGCCCTTCTCGGAGGGCCCTTCTATTAGAGGGGTCCTTCTAATACAAAGGGGCCCTTCTTATACAGGTTTTACGGTAGTTTCTTTTTTTGATTTCTATGTACAATAAATATTTTAACAAAAATCAAAAACTGGTTACAACAATGACATGAAACAGGAGGAATAACTAGAACTAGAAAATCATATTAAAATGGGTTAAAATTTTTAATTTTTCCACTTTTAATTTTTCATTAAAGGAGGCCAGACACCGAAAAAAAAAGTTTTCCTGATATTTTGCATAGAGAACCCCCATGAGGGGTTGAACTCATGACAGGCAGCTCAGGGGTACAGCGCTGCTACCGGCTGAGCTACGGGGGCGCGAAGGCGCCTGACGACCGATGGTCTACATAAGCGCGGCGCGATTTCGTCCCCCGAAATTTTTGCAGTCTCGCCTCCTTCAAAAAGATCTGTTTCAGGTTTTAGGTATATTTTTTCCAATTCATTAGAATTCTGATTCAGGTTCTAATTTTTGTTTCGTTTCTGTTTGTCTTCAAGTTGTTAATGCTCTCAAGATTCTGGCCGATTCTAGAATAATTTTCAGATGAATCAATTCTTTTGACGCTAATAAAATTCTCGACAATTTTGTTCTAAAATCTCAAATTTCGAAGTTTAGCTCTTTTTTAGGTTACTATACAATTGTCGGTTTCCGCACACTTTCAGGTACTTCTTTCAGAAAAAAAAAGTAAAAAGTGCTGAAAATGTTTAATCTTGAATTTATACAACAAAAAAGAAAACCTAACATGAAAAAATTGTTTCAAGGAGCGAAAAGAAAAAACGAACAGGGAGGGAATAGTGAATTTTGGCAAAAAGGAACAAATTGGGATTTTGGGATATTTAATCTGAGCAACTGGTCGTGGGGGTTAGAGAGGAAAAAGAACGGTCACATATATACTAGAAGCTAGTATTTACACAGTTTTCAATTTTTGAATTTTCAATAGAAATTTTTCAATGGGATTTTGGGATTTTGTTGTCTATAACAAGGCACATTGGGGTGAAAATGAGAAGTGACAGGGCCAAAAAACGGACGAGTTTTGAAAAAAAAGAAAATAATAACATGGAAAATTTGGGGAGCAAGAAAAGAAACAGGAGTTAAAGTTGATAAGTTAAAGGACGGAAATTTAGAATTTTCCCTCAACATTAGCGTCTTGTGTCGTATCGTAGGTTCCTGTGAGTCCTGGAGTTTTGGAACCAAAAACGGCGACGGTTTTGTCACTGTAGCCGACTACGGTAAGCAGTCTGAAACAAGATATGATTACAGTAATCACAAATTCAAAAATACATTGAAAATTTTTCGAATCGATTTTTTGATCTATGTCGAAAATCACACATTCTTTATAAGAGGAATATAGCGGCCTAACTTTCTGAATACGCCAACTTTTACGGCCTTGAAATGGTCTGATATTCACCTAGTGTGTCTTTTAGGATATTTTTACATGGTGGCCTAACTTTCTCACGTTGAGTTTTCTAGGTCATTTCCGCATGTAGGCCTAGCTTTCCCACTACGAATTTTCTAGACCATCAAGTTTTTTTTGCCTAGATAAGGTCTAATATTTAACTGAGACTGTTTTAACATGATTTCAAGACTGTTTTGACATGGTGGCCTAGCTTTTGCTAGTTGAGTCGTCTAGGCCACCGTCCTAAAATGGGCTAGAAAACATACTAGCTGAGTATTATACCATTGCGAGGCCATTTTAGAATGGTTGCCTAGAAAACTCAACTTGCAAAATTTAGGCCACCATTTTGAAATGGCCCAGAAAACACAACAGGCGAATATTATGCCATTTCAAGAAAGGTGATGACTTAGAAAATTCGCATTGAGAAAGTTAGGTCACCAACCCAGATGGCCTATAAATTTCGCACGAGGAAGTTCGGTCACCCTTCTAAATTACCTAGAAAAAATGAAAAAAAGAGCACAATACCTAGTTCAATATAACATGGTGGCCTAGCTTTTGAGTTTTCTAGGCCATCAACTTTTTTGACCTAGAAATGACCTGATTTTTGAAAAACACAATAATCTCACCTCATTTGATGCATTGTCAACGAAATAACACTTGGAGGATTTTCCGATTGTTTCCGCCTATCTTGTACCGCCCTTGAATTTATTTCAGTCATCCTCGAATCTGATTGCGTCGAAAAAATCGATGAAAGCTTCCTCTGATGTTTCGGTAGTGCTTGGTGTGGTGTACGAACCACGTCGGCGGCGGTCGGTGGTTGGAAGTACGAGATCTTTTTGTTTTTCGCCACATCATAAATAGCCACGTGCTGTCTTGACGCTGATGCGAGGATTCTCGAGTCATCGTGGACCCACATGTGCGAGTGCTCTCCGGGTGTCCATGGGGTGACAATAGATGGCGTGGCTTCTTTGAACATTCGAAGCTGAAGCTTGTAAATTGATCCATCCTGACTTCCAGCAAACAACTCAGTCGCATATCCAGTTCGATTCACTCTCAAATGCATGATTCCCGGTGGTTTAGATTCGAAATTCGTGTGACCGTTGACTGGAGCTAAACTGCATTTCGCCGCTTTTGGATTCGCCATTCTCATATCGAAATAGTCGACACGACCGTCTCCATACCCGACTGCCACCATGTTTCCCTCTTCGTCTAGATTTCCAGACATGGCTGTTGGAAGAGTGTTCTTGTCGAGTTTCACGCCGAGACCTCCTTGTTGTTTGCTGCCTGGAGAGTACATTACGTCTTGACACACTTTCTCGCAGTGGGCATCCCAAATACGGACACTTCGACTTCCGGTGCAGAGGAGTTTTCCGTTTTGTTGGTTCCAGCTGAAAAATGGATTTTGTGTTACAATAAAAATTTTCAAAATTGTGTGGCCCTAACTTTTGCAAATTCAGATTTCTAGACCACCATGATTAATAACCTAGATATGATCCTATATTCCCCTGGTATGTTTTCTAGGCCATATCAACATAGTGGCCTAACCTTTGCATGTTGAGATTTCTATGCCACCATGTAAACGACCTAGAAATGGTCTGACATGCATCTAGCGAGTTTCCCAGGCTATTTTAACATGGCGGCCTAAATTTCACAAGTTTGATTTTCTAGGCCACCATGGTAAATAACCTAGAAAACACACCAGAATAATAACAGGACATTTTAGGCCATTTTCGAATGGTGGCCTAACTTTTCCAACATGAATTTTCTAAGCCACCAGCTTTCATGACCCAGAAATGATCTGATATTTAACTGGTGTGATTTGATCTGATATTTAACTGGTGAGTATGCTTTTAAAGGAGGCGAGACTGCAAAAATTTCTGGGGACAGTTCGGGGGCCGAAATCGCGCCGCGCTTATGTAGACCATCGGTCGTCAGGCGCCTTCGCGCCCCCGTAGCTCAGCCGGTAGCGGCGCTGTACCCCTGAGCTGCCTGTCATGGTTCAACCCCTCATGGGGGTTCTCTATGCAAATTATCAAGATAACTTTTTTTTCGGTGTCTGGCCTCCTTTAAGGCCAATTCAACATGATGGCCTAAAAAATTCAACTTGCGAAAGTTAGGTCATAGTGGTAAACTGCTTAGAAATGGTCCGATTTTCACTGGTATGATTTCTAGGCCATTTTAACATGGCGGCCTAACTTTCACAATTTTAGTTTTCTAGGCCAATTTTTGAAAAATGAGTAATACTTACTCAAAAAGACATCGATTCGTATCGTCACTCAATTTCATTTGCGATTCCAGTGGGAACGACGCCGACACCAACTCCGCCGGTTTCTCATAGTCATCACACCACGCCAAAAAACAAGGATCCCAAATGCGGACGACACCGTTCGAGCTACAAGCGATCACCATTTCCCTCGACATATCATTGATAAGAATCAGTTGAGAAATAAAGGATGGGCAGAATGGATTGTTGTCGGTTAGTTCGAAGCGACGGAACAGTTTTGGATTGTGATCCTGGCGAATGATTGTCATCCATTGACCATCAGTAGCGTACATACATCTTCTCAACTTCGAAGTAACCACTGATCGTGCTTGATGTGGCAATTTGACTCTCCAGAGGCATTCGTCGTATCTATTGTTATCAAAATCTCTTCCCTCCACTTCAGCACTTTGAAGCATTCCTTCCATCGCATGAATCGCCCAATCACTAATCGTCGTCGTCGTCAGAACCACGTCTTCTTGACTCTTCTCCTTTTTCCCCTCCTTTTTATCCCTTGCTCTTTTCTGATCACTCTTCTCCTTATCCTGTTTCTGTATCTCTTTAATCTTGTCTCTATACGCGTCAGGCATGAATTCATCCTCATCCTCGTGCTCCATTTCCAACGCCTTCTCCTCGTCAAGAGTAATGACGTGGAGAATCGGTTCGACGAACACTTTACTGCACCATGCGACGAAGTGAGTCGTCACAATTGGGTTTTCTATAACGGCTCGAAGGGTTTTTGACTCCTCTTTCAGAGCGAAGTCTCCGGGGACAGCCTTGGATCGTCTTGGGGTGAATTCCATGGTAGCGGCGTCAATGAAGTCGGATTTTCCTGGAAAATAGGGTTCTGAATTTTCAGGTCTTCTGAATTTTAGCGATTTTACAATGACACAATTTTCAAAGTTAAGGAAGTATTGTACTCACTGAATACACCCTTGACAGTCTTTCCAGACGCCGTCGTTGCCACGTCACGCTCTTCTGTAGCCGATCTCGCGACGGCTACACCGTTCTCCTCTTCTTCGCTTTCCTCATCCTTCGAGAATAGCTCGCTGCTCTGGGTGTCATCAGTGAATGAGCTACCAGGTGACATTGGATTTCCTGAAACTTCGAGTCATCGAGTTTAGACTTTTTAGTCCCTCACAGTTTTTTTTTCTGGGCCACCTGACTTGATGGCCGAACTTCCCAACGTGAATTTTCTAGGCCACTAACTTATCCGGCCTATTTATGGGCTGACATTTACCTGGTATGTTTTCCAGGTCATTCTGACACGGTGGCCTAAATTTCCTAAAATGGATTTTCTAGGCTACCAAACATTTTTCGGCCCAGAAATGACTTGATATTCACAAAATGCGTTTTCTCGGTCATTTTAGCATAGTGGCCTAACTTTCGCAAGTTGAGTTTTCTAGGCCATCATACTTTTTTCGTCCAGAAATGGTCTAGCATTAACTCGGTGTATCAGGTAATTTCTAGGCCATATAAATTGGTGGCCTAGAAAATTCACATAACGAGAGTTAGGCCACCAAACTACCATAGTCCCTAACTCACTAGAATGCTGCTGATGGGGATCCGCGGGACTTCCAACTTGAAACTTGACTTTCGACTCGTCCTGCAACTTATTCAACTGACTCTTTCCCTTCCGCTGCTCCTTATCTTTCTGCGCATTCATCAGTGTGAAATCAATGCCCTGCGAGCCAACACCGGTTTCTGGAATCGTTGGAAGCGCTTTTAGTAGAAATCTTCAGTTCTTTCTAGGATTCTCTTACCTCGTTCAACTTCTAGATTTCGTTTGATTCTATCCGCTAGATTGCTGACCTCCTCGTTTGGTCCGACGGGTCGACGTGGCATTTCGACAGTGGCTCGGGACGTTTTACGAGCGATCATCTTGCGATTCAGGACTGCCATTGTGTTATCAATGTTGGCTATCATCTCCGGTATTCCAGCTTCAACACGATGCACTATTTTTTGTGCCATTCGAGCGACCTAGAAGATTAAATATTGAGGAAAAAATATAATTGCTTCAATCACTCACTCTTTCAATCGGATCCAAAGATAGTCGGAGCAATGATAGCCACGTTCTCGCGACGGCTTCATTGAACGTCTTGGCTTCGAGATGTTTGATTTGAAGACGTGCGCGTTCTCTGTATTGTATGATACTATTTCGTTAGAAATCCCATTCGATTAAAGACATTTACCGATACTCAACGTCTCCAGATTCTCGCTCTACGTAGTTCTCGTTCTCGTGTCCCATCAAAATCAGATTCCCTCCTAGGTCATAGGTGAATGATTCTTCAACCGCCGTGTTGAATACACTCGTCGACGCCTTCTTTCGAATGAACGATGTTTGAGTGAACTCGTTGACTGGGGGGGTTTTGGCGTGTGGACGTCGGCTGGACGGCATCTCAGAAGCGATATCTAGCCCTTCTTCGTTGATATCATCTTCATCGGTTATCGAATCAGAATTTCGTCTTCTCGGAACTTTAAACTTCACTTGATTCGACAGATCCAGCAGGAATTTAATAAATCTCTTCTCGAAATCAAAGACGAACCACTGGAGAGCAACGATCAGCTCCTCTCTGACCAGTACCGAACTATCAAAGACGCACTGCATACACAATTCATCAGCGAGATTCTCCTCTACTGCAGACGCATGTTCATTGGATCTCGACGAATTCCGGAGCAAGCTTCCCAGAGCAAAAACCGCAGCAGCTCTGACTTCCGCCGAATCATCACTCAGCTCCAGAATCATTTTATCATGAGCCATCAGACGGATTCCCTGCCATCTAGCTACATCATAATCCGACCAGAGACGTCCAAGACCAATTAGAATCCACAGCTTGAGCAATTTTACAGATCTCGCAGTGTCGTCAACCATCAACTCGGTACAGATTGCCATGTATCCTTTGCTAGTGAGCTCTTTTTGTGCCAGTTTGAAGTTGTTGGATGTCAATTGAGCTAGAACGAACGCCGCTACTGTTTTCTGTTTGGGTTTGATATCCGGGTCGGCGAGTAGCTGGAGGAAGTACTGGAATCGCAGCATCGTCTTCTTCTCTTGAGCCTGTGTCGTGGTGCCTTGCTGCTGCTGCTGTTGTTGTTGCTGTGACTGCTGATTATTCTGTTTTTGCTGGCCATTCTGTTGCTGATTGTTCTGCTGCTGTTGCTGTTGGCCTTGCTGCTGCTGCCGCTGTGGATTAGGTGACTGTTGACCTCCATTTTGTCTCTGCTGAGCATGTTGCTGAGCATACTGTAGTTGCATATCCAACGCCTGGTTCTGATTGTTCTGGAATCTTCCACCGGTCTGCGTGTTGATCTGAAGAGCACGCTTATCCATCTGAAGTTGTGGCGGTGGGGGATGATTGACGAACATGGACGACTGCTTCAGAGAGACAGACTCCTGGGGTGGTGGCTGTTGAGCAGCTTGTTGAGCCGCTGCCTGGGTGCTCGCAGATTCATCAATACACTCATTGAACAGTTCAATTTGGCAGGATGGATCGACTGCCAGGATTTTTGCCCAAATAAATGCCAAAGAGATTTTTAGATCGTTAATATTACTTTGGAGCAGTTTGAGAACATATGGGAAGATTCCAACAGCCAGGGAGTATCCAATTGCCCACCTTCCAAAGTCTAAGAATCTAGCTAGCAATCTCAAAGCACGAACTCGATGTGCCTGACTCAACAGCACTTGAAGAACCATTGGAAGCTGAAGAGGGGGTGTTCCTTCGTCCACTCCATAATCCAGCCATAACTCAAAAGCTTGAAGCTGCTCAGTGAAGAATGTGTTGTATTGGTGGGTTTCGTTGTAGGTGAGCACGTGTTCGAAGTCAATGAGGACCAAAAATGGGAATACACTGCTTCTATTGATGACATCTCTTCCACAGAACAGAGCTCTCTCGGTATCCTTCACATAGATCAGCTCCCTACAGTAATCCAGCACCATATCCATTGTTTGATCCCAACACCTCCATAGATCGTGTCGAGAAGTGTCTTTGAGAGCAGGTTGAGATACTGGTTGAACATCAAACTTTGATAAGACTCGTTGAGCTAGTAGGAAACTTCTGAAGAGTGTCGCCAGAAGAAGATCCTGTCGGAACAGCCTCTGAAAGCAATCTCGATCTATCGAGGTGAAAGCGATTGTGTCTGTGATGGCCGTGAATATCCAATTGAGCTCTCCAAGGACCGTTCGTCTCTCCGCAAGATTTCCTGGGATCATATCCAGAATATTCTCTGGATACTCGTCTCGACGTTCAGAATGGCTCAGATGGAATGCCAGAGACGTTCGAATCGGTGTAGTGAGGCAAGAAGTGAATAGATCTGCAGGAAGATGAGGATTCGACATGGGGAGGTATTGACCAGCACTACAAGCTGCCAAGTGAATGCAATCCTGTAAATATGCGTCAAATTAGAGGACTGTTCTATTCATAAAAATGGTTAAAACTCACATTATATTTCGGATATTTCTCTGGGAATCCCAACGCTTCCGCTGCGTCTGCATCATTCATTTTCGAGGAAATCGGTGGAAGATTTCGTTGTTCCTCTTGCCATCGATCGAATCTGCTTTGCCAAGAGATCTTCTGATCATCACCAAATCGTCGATAATTCTGAAGAATTGTCTCTGCTGAGTGTGTCTCCCAAATATAGATTGTCGGATAGTCCAACCATCCTTGGAGATCGAATATCGACAGAGGGATGTATTGGGTGAAGCTTTTATTGAACACCCAAATCTCTCCATTATCTGTGGGTCGTGGCACACCGTGACCGTTGTAATGGAACAGAACTCGATCGTTTCCACTTATACGACGGAGGTTGGTGGCCACTTTGCGGACGTCGTCGATCGGAGGATCCGTGCAGATTTTGTAGCGGGTTCTGGTAGAAAAACTTGATGATCTTAGAGCTAGAAAAATCGGTCTAAAGGCGGTGTACGGTCAAATTTTTATAGCTTTTCTGACCGTTTCAGATTGATTTTTCTAGCTTTGAATGCGAGAAAAATAAACAAAAACCTCTTATTGTGAAATTTATCAAACTTGGTTGGATTATTATACTTCCTTGACCATTTTTAACTGATTTTAAGACTTTTCAGACTGATTTTCAGCGATATTGATTAGAAAATCTTCGTCTCTAAAGACCAAATTCCGAAAAAAATCGTTTTTCGATGCTTTTTTCTTATTTCAGAGCTTTTTTCGGTATTTTCATGTGAATTTACACGACTTTTGCACAAAACACCACCTTATATGGTTTCGAAGCTAGAATAATTGAACTGAAACTGTCAAAATTAGGATTTGACGATTTTTGACCACAAATTTTGACCAAGTTATTTCAATCTTTTCTTACTTTGATTTCGGCTGCCACTTCTCGTACGCCCTCTGTGTGCTCAGACCGACTTCCATCGCAGCCTTGTGAGCTCCACACTTGTACGGATCGACCCACGAGAGAAGACGTGCTGGAGCGTCTTTACGAGACGGCGCTTCCGGTGGATCCACTCCCAAATGAAGACACATAATGATAGCGACAGAAGCCGTGCGCAGACGATCATTTCCTTTTCGACGGCTTGAGCTGGAAAATTGATTTATTTGAATTTCTGTTTATCTCATATTGCTTGTGGGTCTCGAAGCGATTTCCCAGATTTTTCGCTTGATCGCTCAGCTCCGCCCCTTTTCCGAATCGTTACGAAATTCATGGGGTTCGGGCGGTCCTTTTACCTCCAATATTTTGCAAAAAAAACGATATTTTTTTCTAATTTTTTATGTAGGTCTCGAAGCGAAAATATTTTTTCTCTTTGCATAACGAAATCGCTCGTCTGACTCATCTATTTTATTTCATTTTGACCGTTTCTCTTGGCTCCGCCCCTTTATTTTCGAATCATTTCGAAATAACGCCGTTCGGGCGGTCACTTTTTCCAAAAAAAAAAAACGCTCACCACTCTTCGATATAATCCCACTCGTCCTCCATGCTTCCGGCGATATTCTCAACATGTCGCGGCTCTTGTAAATACAATGTCACTCTTTCTACATTTCTCTGAAATTCAAATTCATTGAATTCCTTGATTTTTTTGAAAAATTAACGAAAATTAATAGATTTTTTTAGGGTTTTGACATATTTTCTCTCAAAATTAGCTTCAAATTCGCTTTTTATGAATTTTTATTTGTTTATTTAAGCCCGAACCTGAGCATGCCACATGTTGACTGTCAATCGCTCTGCAAACGAAGAGAACGGCGATAAACTTCGTTCCTCCTCCATTTCTGTGCCTGAAACCCGAAAAAATCGTTTCGCTTTTCATTTATTTCACACGAATTATAAAGGTCACATGACACAGTAGAACACAAAAAACTGCGAAAATAGAGGAAAATCAATGTAAAATTTCAGAGAACTTTGTAATTTTTCAATTGAGCAAACAATTTTTGGCAACTTTTTTAGGTTTCCATCGCTGATAACAGTTCGAAAATCAACTTCAAGCGCCTGACGTTAGCAGAAAAAAACGCACTTTGCGTGAAGGATGCAACCGCGCTCCGCCGCACTTGTCAAAATTTTGTCGTTTTTTGGCGGATTTTTGAAGAAACAACTAGTTTTCAGAGTTTTTTTGCTAGATTTTCAGAGAAAATAAATGAGAAAAACATGGGGAAACCTTTAGAAAAACTTCAGAAACGCGAATTTTCGATGAAAACGTTGCTGAATGAAAGCCCATACTTGCTGAAAGTGTGAGAAAAACGCATTTCCAAGAATCCCATATGGCACGCCACCTGTTCTTTTATTTTCCCATGCCCTTCAAAAAGGATTTTTTGTCAACAATAGTTTTATTTGATAGTTCTCACTGTGGGTCAGTTTGGTTGGGGTGTGTGGGACAGTTTTAAACAAAAATGAACAGAGTCAGAGTTTTTGAATGCCAGAAAAGAAGAAAAAAGAGATCAGAAGGAGATCAGAAGGCTGGAATACGCTCTCGATACGCACGACGCATGCATCCTGGTCCGTGGCAGCCGAGGAACTCCGTGCAAATGCAGCCTGGTGGAGCTCTGAAGAAATATCTCGTTGAAATTAAAAAGTAAATAAAAATATAGATAGAGGAGTAGAAGTTAAAGCTCCCATTCGGTCGGAAAATTTAGCCGGTCGACCGACCGACCGACCGAAATGGGAGCCTTAGAAGAAGTAGGAAAAACTAGGAAGCGAACCCAAAGGGGAACCTTTTTGCGAGGTCCGGAGTGACAGCAGCGGACGAACGAGTACGGTAGCGTGGATAGTGGACCATGCTTGAGCTGAAGAGAAAATCGAGAGGATCGACGGCTTCGACGGTACTGAAGGCACAGAAGACCAAGAGAACCGCGATGGCGGATGGGAGGATTAACTTCATCATCTGGAAAAGATAAATCACTCTGGATTAAATTGACAAAAGATAGAAAGATCAGAAGAAACGGATTATCAGAAACAGAAAAAAAAATCAGAATACTGTTCGAAAGTTGTTCAAAGAACAATTGCAAAAATTAAAACCTATTGAAAGGAAGCTCATTTGTCTGCCAAGATCTAACTTTTTTAGCCAAATTCAAACATTTCAACTGGAATATGTTTTATTATGGAACAGAAAAAAAATTAGTAGAATAGTGAGTGGAATAAAACTGACTTGGATTATCCGACAACTAAATTAGATTTTGGTCCAGTGGATCCGAATTATTTCCCCCTACAAAAATATCAATTCAGTTTGTAAAAGGAGATACCGTAAACACTCTCTTAACTTTCAACTTTGATGCAATTTATCTCGGTTTCTCTGAAAGCTATCAAAAAGTGTTCTACTGATAAAATGTTGCTGATAATATGATAAATATTTTCTTAGGCAACCACTCATTGATATCTTTCATAGGAACCGAGATATATGATATCGAAGTTTTGGGGGACATTTTCAGAGTTTTTACAGTATTCTTCCCGAAAATGGCTAATATTAGAATTTTTGATTTTTAGTTGCATATTTCATTTGAATGAATCAGTTGAAAAAATAACTGGCTACAAAATTTATGACCTATTTTTAAATATATCAGAATTATTCCGGATCTGAAGTTTTAGGCATCCAAAGTTGCAGCTTTTTTCAAGGATAACTTTTTCCCGTCGCAAACAATTTGCTTTTCATTTACTCAAGTGCGATCTGTAATAGAAAGTAATCAAAGTTATCATAATAGAAAGTAACGGAAGCTAGTTTGGACTAAATTTATCTTGGTTCCTGTAACGGATAGCGAAAAATGCTGAACAGTCTAAATATTTTTCATATTTAATGATGATTGTCAGTTGACCACTTTTTGATATCTTCTATAGGAAATGAAATGAATTGGCTCAAAGTTGAAAAGGTTTTACGGAATTCGGATTTTTGAAACGTTCGAAAATTTTCTGAAATTTAAATATGAAAATAAAGTTAAAGCTCATTCAAAATGTCCTTTTTAGTTGTTCTATCGTCACTTTTCCTGTAATTATTTATTTTTAATGTTTCCGAAAACTGTAAAATTTCAGAAAGTTTTTTTTTCAGAAGATTCCCACTCCTAACTGTGGTTCCAGTTAAAAACATAAATATGTCGTTTTCTAACATAAAGCTCGAAAAATTTTATATGGCAAAGTTTTTCAGAGAAAGGTTTTAATGCAAATTTTACTGTTTCTATTTCATCCCAATAACCTACTTTGTTCTAACAATAAAGTCATTGATTTACACATAGTTGAAAATTTTATTTGAAAAATTATTCCAAATCGTCCGGAAACAAGTTTACTTTGAAATCTGTCAAAGGACTGGACAAAATTTTTAGAATATTAATGGCTGGAGATTATTCTTATGCTCATTTCCGATGCTTCCTCATGAATCAACGAGAAGGTCATAATTCAGAAATAAGAAACCAGTTAATATCTTCTAGGTTCACAAAGATGCTTAGATTCAATTAAAAAATCCAAAATCAACTGACTAAATGTTCAACAAGAAACAGAAAAAAGGAGCAAATGTTGCCCTTCTAGACTCCGGAATCCAAGAAGAATCTTGATATGGATAGAAAAATAGAGAAGTGGCAAATGGAAACCAAACATGCAATCGCTTATATTTGGACCCTCCTTTCTCCTCCTTCTTTCGATTGCTCTGACTCCGCCCCTTTTTTCTTCTCTTCTTCCTTTTTTCACTTCCTTCGTTTCAAAAAAAAACATAATTGGACAATGAGCTTTTGGAATACCAATTCATGTGAGAGGGAACCTTGTCTCAGGGTGACAAAATAATAACAAAATTAGAGAGCAGGGGAAATTGAGAGACGACAGAGGCAATGGTGATTTTTACGATGTGAGAGGAATTAATTCAATTTTTGGGGTGGCGGAGAGGTGGAATGAAATTGAAGGTTGGGGATATCGAGAATAAAAAAGATAACTGGAGCAGCTAGCCGTGCGACTTTTCACGGCCTTTTGAAATAATTGTTTCATAAGAAACGTAGAATTTTTTTTTGAAAAGTAGGACAAAAAAACGAAATTATTCAAAAACTAATTGATTTTCACTTCACGCGTTTTCATGAGGCTATCCGCGGGCGGCCTCGGCTAGCCGCGGCTTTTCACGGCTTTCACAAAAAAGCCGCGGCCGGCCTCGGCTTCAAAAATCGAGCCGTGGCTGAGGCCGGCCGCGGCCAGCCGCCTTTTTGCACAGTCTTGGGGTCACCCTATATTTTCACGCATACAACCTACTGTAATCCTGAAATCTACGCCCTATTTATATTTTCGAAATTTCATGTACTGAAATATGTAAAAACAGAAAAACAAAGTATTTTAAAAAAGAGACCGATTGATCCTTAGAGAAATGAAAGTGTCTGAAACTAATACGGCAGTTAACGTATTCAAAGAGAGGATTTTTCCAACATTTTGTAGCAGAAAAGTTCTTGAAAAACTAGCTGAAAATTGGTTGTATTTATTCTAAAAAACTATAGCTCAATATTACAGATGACCCTCTACATTTTTTGGCGAAGAAGTGAAACGGAAGGAAAAATGGGATTCCTTTCATAATCCTTTTCTCAAATTTCTTCACACCAGAATACACAAATTTTCGGGCTCAAAAACACTGTGTATTCTTGTTATTTCCCGAATATTGTCTAGAATCCAGTATTCTTTGAAAAATTTCAGATTATTTTGTCTATGTCTACAAAGTCCAAAGCCTGGAAAATGGGAGAAATAAGTGAAGAGAAAGGTGTTATGTATTTCTGCGAAAATGTAATTTTCCAGCTTTTATCAAATCAAAGGTGCATGTGATATGTGGGTATAGTGGAGCATAAGGGAGAATTGAATTAATGAGGTGCCAGGCACCACGAAATCTAGTTCAGAGAACATTTCATTTTTAATGAATCGAAAAATATTGAAACAATCATCAAGTGATTTTTACAGAGTTTAAACTTGAAAAAAATTCAACATTTAAATCCGTTTCAGAATCTGTTCATTCTATATTTAGAACCGATAGAAACAATTTGCGAAATTTAGGAATCGTAGAGTCATTATACTCATAAAACATGAATATTTTTCAAAAGACTGTGATTGCAGAGACTGCTTAAGTTTTTGACTTTTATTCCTGTTTCACTTTACTTGAAAAATGTCTTCGCAGTTAATTGTTCCTAGCAATTCATAAAGGTTCTGGAACCTTTTAACTGTCTATAGGCCACCGGACCTGAACTCCATTAGATCTAAAGCCCTCATCACACACTTGGACAACATTCTCCCCCTCACGTCTTGTGTTCTCCTTGGTGACTTCAATTATCCTTCTATCTCCTGGGAGAACACCAACTCCTCCAACTCGTTCTCAGACTTTCTCGACTCTAAGGGCTTTTCTCAGAATGTCAATTTTCCAACCCGTGTTACTTCTTCTGTCTCTAATATTCTGGACTTAGTCATTACTAGCGACGATGTCCAACTCCTCGACGTTTCTTCAGCCCCTCCACTTCTTAATTCCGATCATCTCGCAATCAACACCATCCTTTCCAGACCTCCCTCCTCCAATCCTTCTACTATTCCTTCTTCTACCCGTCGAGTCCGTTCTAAACTAGCCAAAGCTCTCAAAACAAACTCCTCTCCCGCATCTCAACTTGTCTCAAATCTTCGCCGTCGAATCA